TGTATTAAAAGTGGGCTGTGTTTGTATTAAAAGTGGGCTGTGTTTGTATTAAAAGTGGGCAGTGTTTGTATTAAAAGTCCGTGAAAGTGAATGTTATAATGGAAAAAGTAGCGTTTTTGACGATAAATATTGTCGTGACGAGCCAAAAAATGTCGTTAGAGTAATCTTGCCACTCGCAAAAAAGTTGGCCCCCGTGATTAAGTTCGAACTCCGCCCGGTAATCACCGGCAAATAAATATTTCCGTCAAATCAAAGTTCCCCACCGCTCCACTTTGAAATATTGTTAAATAATTTTGAAAATCTCTTTTCCCAGTCAACTTCTTAATGTAGGTCAGGGCCAGTGTAGGTCTTTATGCAGGTCAGTGTTTTGATCAGACACTGGTTTTTATTCATTTTTGGCAAATATTTTAAAAAACATTCAACACCTATATTCGCCACTCTACATCATGATAAACTTGTTGCAATTCTAATGTTATTGGCGGATTTATTTCGAAACATTTTATGGCTTCCAAATTTAGTTAATTTAGTGGAACCAATATTTAATAAAATAATCTGTTGTCAGAGTCCAAGTTTTTAATTATTTTTTAAATCAAACAACACGATAGACGGAGAAAGAAGGGAAATTTTCAAACGACTCAAAAATTCAATGTTAAAAAATGTTTGCTAGGTATAGAAGGTTTTACGTCTTTTGACTGTTATTTTTCGAATAAAAATGTTGGCATTGCAAACAAATATCTGTTGAACTGTCTAGCAAGATAAATTAAGATAGCAAATATTTTATAGAGATTTGATGGAAAAGTGTACCGCTAATTATAATAATAAATACAAATGAATAAATATATATATTAAATTGCATACAAAAATATATTCATCAAATGAATTAACAAAATAGAATTAAATGCGCTAACTAAACTATTTTAATTACATTTTGATATTACTGACAGCAGATTATTTTAATAACATTTTAAAATATAATAAATTGTTAGAAGAAAGAATGCACCAAATTAGGCCGATTTTAATTGTCCCGATTGGTGTTAGGTAGTGCTAAGGATTAATTTCTTGTGGGTGTTTATTTTGATGAAAAATATTTTTCTAACTCATTAATTTTTTAAACTTAAAAAGTTTGACGTACGAAGATGCTGACATAAACATCTTCGACAGTAATTTGAACAGGGAAGAATAGAGTGACTAATAAACGATTGTCTTCATATATTATTCAAAGGAGCTCTAAGCGTACTCTCAATTACTTTTCCGATTCTTTCCGACTTTATTGACCTGTATTTCAACTCTTCATGGTTTTTATACAACGACTCGCATATTTTGTTGATCTTGCAATGAAAATTTTTTTTATAATACAATAGAGCCATAAAATAAAATCCACATTTAAAAACAAACACGCCTAATTTTTGTTCACACATTTTAAAAAATATTCCAACTAGCGATTTAAATTTGTTTGATTGTTATTTTAGCAATTATAATTGTACATTTTAAAAACCTAAAAGTTTAAACAAAAAACACAATAGTAACTCAAAGCATATATTTTTTGATATACATATGAGAATTGCCGACAGCTGCCAGCTCTGTTACCTTTTTTCCCCCTACTTGCACGTGTACCAGTGGTCAGTTCGAACGAGACTGGATTAGCTGCTTGTTATTATGCTATCCTTTTTAAATATTCACAATGACATTATCATATTTCCCTCAGAAGTGCGAACGTCAGAATTACTTAAGATGCACGGCACTTTTTGCACTTACATAGTTTTAGTTTGTGCGTATATTTGAGCGTACATCGAAAATGTAGAAGCGAACATTTCTAGGTGGTTTACTAATATTAGCATGAATATAATCTATCTAGTGCCATGTTAATCGAGATTTCGTTGCGTGTTGCTGTCGTCGTTCGAATGCCGTTTGTGAGTTGGTGCAAGGTTTGAGAGTCACCGGGCACGCTCTGCTTGTTAGGATGTGCTTCTGTGTATCCTACATACCTTACGTTTGAATTTTTTCCAATTATACACAAGTTTGCAAAACATGTTTTATGTTTGTATTTGCGTAGGAATCTAGGTTGGCGTCAACAATAGTTCATGACCTTGCTAATAAAACTTTTCAAAATTACAACGTTTCTTTACAATATTATAATTTAAAATATGTTTTCATAGGTACTAATTTTCTTAATGTACATGCGGATAGATAAAAATGTAATTAGGCTTGTAAGAGGTGTCAAACAAAATTGAAATTCTAAAAAAACCACAAATATTCAATGGATGGATTGCATGAAGTCAGCGCTCGCTAATCCGCATCATGTTTAAGGAGTATTAAATGGACTCTTAGCAACCAGTCTTTATTTTACGGTGATAGATTTTTAGTAAGAAAGAAAATTTACTTTTTGAATTTTTTTAATAATCTTAATTAATTTTTCAATACAAAAATAATAATTTCCTCGAATGTAAATTTTAAAAAAACTTTGATTACTCAAACATTTATCTATACCCATAAGCGGTTTCGATAGTGACATTTACGATACGAGCCTTTGTTGATCAATCTATCCAATTAATTAATATCTTTGTATGTTTCATTAAGTAAGAGTAGAGGAGTTAGAAGTACCATTATTAAAAATAGCAGAAAAAAAACGATTACAGAGAAAAGAAGAAAAGCAAGATAGACACGAATCTGTAATATCCGAAGAAGAGTCTGGCAATCTCAAGGGGACAGTGAATGGTAAATTTTTTTAAAGGCCGTCAATCCCAATAAATCATCCGGCCTAGCCCAACGTAAAATAATATTAGGCATCATTTTTTCATGGTGTAGCGAAGGAGGGACGAGCCCGAGCAGTCGTGCGGGGCGCCATTTGTGGATGCCACATTTTTAAGTGCCCCTGCATGAAAACACTTTTGAACAACAAAAGCGATTTATTTTTTGTTCTCACTACTATTCAAGCGTCCTTATAATATAAAGCAAGTGGTAATAAAAATTGATTCCAAATAAAATACTCCCTTTAAAAACTAAATGTAGTAAACTATACAACAGTCAAATAAATTATTGGTTTGTTATATGAGGGCACCAAAATATATGAATTCCAGTCAGGGGTCGCATTTGAAAAAACTGCCCGAGACGCATTTTATAACTTCAATGCCACCAATTTTCGTTTCACTTAAAATTAATTCATACAAACACAAATAACAAAATCACTAACATAAATTATTATTTACTGTTAAAAGGAGGTCTTGTGTTAAAAGTAGGTCTTAAAGTGATTTTAATTAAATTCAACGTTTAACAGATAAGAAAGCGAAAAATACAATGATAACGCATAGATCATTTTCAATTTGAGAATTTTGTTCTAGAAAGTTAGGAACATGAATTAGTTTGCTGAAAGAATGAGAAAATCAAAATAATTTTTGTATAGGGTATAAAACTGAAGGTTGGCATTTAAAGATAGGAGACTGAAGACGCACAGAATAGAATTTCAATCGTTCACCGGACTAATGAAGACTCTAATATGTAATGTTTAGAGCTTTCAAAGCTGGTTGATGACGAATCCAGGTTTCCACCAGATCCAAAAGGGATCCCACATGCATGTACTTTTCCCAGAATGCCTGCTGTAGCCTGTAATGAAACTTTCTAAACTTAAACCTCAGTCAGCGTTGCTCCTCCAGGCAATTCATTCGCCTAGTTTTCCAGGTTTTTAATCACCGCTCCCTCCCGAAACTTCTACAGGCACCGGAATGATTTGAGTCTTCGTGTCCACTGGTGTTACACATTTTTTGAATTTCAATTTACAAATTTTTTCAGACTCCTTTTGCATAATATTCAGGCCATCAGGTACAGACACACCTACATTTGACACATTCTTCCTGTCCTATCATGGATTAATATATCCGACCTGTTTGCTGGCATGGTTCAGTTATGGTTATTGAAGTGTCCTAGAAGATTTTGCCACCACCCTTATAATTTAAAAACCTCTGGGGATCGTGTCTATAATGCTCTGCAGTCACCTCCAGGCCAACATATTTGCTCATTATCTAGTAGAGGTAAGTGGCAACTTTGCTGGGTCTTCATGTAAATTCCAAGGTTTCGGAATTGGTCGGAGTCTGAAATTTTTACGGTAGTCGGAATTTTTTGAGACTCCGGAAAATGTTATTAAATTAAAAAAAATTCTGAAAATATTTTTTTTAGATGCATAGAAGATAAATATTTTTTAAAGGATGAATAGGTGTAGCGATAAGCAATCAGCTTTAATAAGGAAAATAAAGGCCATTAATGTGAATAAAATCACAATTTTTTTCAATACGTTTTAAAACATAAAAATACAGAAATAATTTTGCTAAAAAAATAATTACATCTACTGATTTAAAGTGTTTTTTAAAGTATTTTTTATTTAGTAGTGATAATATTGTGAAATTATGATGCAAAAGTTGGAAAAATTTTCCGTAAGTCGGAACCGGGAAGTAGGACAATTTTACCCGAAGTCTGAATTTTTGAGGGGCCGAGTGGGATATTTTTTATCTGACTGCGACACTGGATATTCATTTGAAGGCGTTACACTTAACAACACACATTAACGTCAATATTAACGTTAGCCATTTAATTATTTTTCTATTTATTAATAATTAATACTATTTTATTATTCTTAATATTATACTTGTTTCGATATTCATAACCTGAATGTGTAATGCTGATTACGTATCAACAGTTACAATAATACAATTGATGTCTTATTTGTTATCTTGCTTGATGTGTGGAGACATTAATTTGAGTGCTAATTGAATGCTGGCACGTATGGCAGTTCGTTATAGTGTCATTGATGTTATTCGTATTATTATTATTATTGTTATTATAATTGTAATTATTATAGACAATCTTCACCATTTTGTCGAAGCCAAACATTCGCTCAGTTTTGAAATTAATCTCAGTGAGAAGCCGTGATGTAATTTTAAAAGAAGATTCAAATGTAATGATTGAATTTCAACCAGCACGAACACAACTATACAAGCATTGGTGGCTACCTTGTGGGACAGCTTGATGGACATCGGTGATATGATACCTCCAATGATCCTGTATCTTCCCGTGCTATTCATGTGGTCACGTGCTAACTCTGGTGATGGTGATGACGATGGCGTTGTTGATGATGATGATGTTGAATAATGTTAAATGATGATTCTGATGATGTTGCTGTTGTTGATGACGATGGTAATGCTGTTGATAAAAATGATGTTGATTGATGTTGTTAGTGATTAACTAAAATGTGTCAACTGCTGAGTCATGTTTCATCGAGCGAGTTGTTGTGCGTGCACCTGAGCCAGACCCCCCCAGCGTTCTTGCTCACACTTCTTTAACATCACCATTCCGATTGCCATTTCAACCATCATTATTATCACCACCACCATCATCATACTTATCTCAATCATCATGTCATCATCTTCATCATCATCCTCATTATCGTCTTCATCGTCATCATCATCTTCATCATCATCGTCATCATCATCTTCATCATCATCGTCATCATCATCTTCTTACGTCCTCACGCAGCTCTCAATTTAGGGTTGCATGGTTTACTAAATGTCGAAAGTATGGCTCCAAAAAAACGTAATAAAGAATAAGGAGGGAAATGTTATAGATGACTAAATGAACGAAGGAATGAAAGAATAAATGAATAAACGAACGAACGAACAAAGGAATGAACGAACGAACGAACGAATGAATGAATGAACGAACCAACGAACGAACCAACGGACGAACAAATTAAAAATGAGATGAACGTGCATAGAAGATGAGCGAATGTCCATAGATGAATGACTGAGTGAATGAATGAACAAAAAAATTAAATAATTGTATAAATATATGAATAAATAGTCGAATAAATGCATGAATGAACAGTTAAAAAAATAAAGTAATCACACACAAAGGTGTATGCAAAAACGTTATAAAACAATAAATGAATGGACGAATCTATCCAGATAATTTGATGGAGAGATTGATTGATGGATGGATTAACTGATAGATGGGTAAATAAATGGATGAATGAACGAACGAATGGACGGACCACTCATCACCAACCGCCGCTACCACTACCAGCCACGCACTCACCAAACATCCTGAGGTGCATGAAGTTGATGGGGTTGAATCCGCCGCAAGAAACCAACACCACCCTCGTTGGCTGCGTTGTCATGGCGACTCTTGTTGATCAGGAATTCTGACTGGAGTTTATGCTTGCCGGAAGATCATCTTTGATATTGTTTTGAAGTTGTTGTTGATGTTGTTGTTACAATTGTTGTAGTTGTTGTTCCCGGTGTTGCAGTTGTTGCTGTGGTTCTTGTTGTTAAAGTAGTTATGATGTTGTTATCGTGGTAATATTTCTGTTAGCGTGATGTTGTTGTTCTTTAGTTAGTTTGTTTGTTGTTGTTGTTGTGTCGATGGCGATCTTGATATTTAAGCTCAACTCAAATGTGACGATGACAGGTGTGGTCTTCTCATTAAAATGTTTTCATTTCAGTGCAAAAGTCGGTTCAAGTAACGTTGATGAAATACAATGATTAACAATAATACGTTTGTTGATGTTATGTGTTTGTTGATGTTGTTGATGTAGTTTTGTTTGTTGATGTTGAGATGTTTGTTGATGTTATGTTGTTTGTTGATGTTGAGGTGTTTGTTGATGTTGAGGTGTTTGCTGATGTGGAGGCGTTTGTTGCAATTTTTAAAATCAACAAATTTGCTGATATTGTTGCATGTTGCAGCTGTTAAAATCGTTTAAAATAGCTCTTGCTGAAAACAGTCAGTTAGTGTGGGGGATGTCGAGCATAACAATTTGAAGAATTGCCAAGTTTAAGATTAAGATCTCATTGTTACTGATATTGACGATATTATTGACGTTGATAATGACGTTGATGATGACGTCATCCGATTAATTCTTCTGATAAGGTGGCTAGTTTCCTTGAGCTGTTTTGAAAAAAAATGGATTATCAATACGTAACCAGTACAAAACGTGTAAATGTGAAAAACAGGTGCACGCCACACACACACACTCACACACACACACACACACACACACAGGGATACACAGGCATACACAGGCATACACATATACAAAAAAACAAACACTGCACAAATCATTCTAAGAACGTGAATAAATAGATAGAAACAAAACCGATGAAACTACAATGAAAATTCTAATAGAAAGAACATCCGGTACATGACCCCTCACCTACATATCATAATTGATCCTTTATAAACATTCAAAACTTAATGAGAGAAATGACTCCATTACTGACCACAACCTCCTCCTCCAACAAACAAGCAAACAAACCGACAAACAAATAAACAAACAAACAGACAAACAAACAAACAAAACGAATACCATTGCAACGTTGATGATCATCAAACTTATTTTGCCATGACTTTTCTATGACTTTTATAACAAATAAACAAACAGACAAACAAACAAACAAAACGAATACCATTGCAACGTTGATGATCATCAAACTTATTTTGCCATGACTTTTCTATGACTTTTATAACACAGTACCAAAGATAACTGGGTCAGTTCAACTAGTATTATATAAAATATTTCCATGCCGGATCTATTGTACACTTGAATGGTTGGTTCTTAGCTCAACATTTGCAGAATTTCTGTGAACAACATTTTTCTTTTAATATTACTGATTCTTGTCTATCTTGGTTTTCTTCTTATTTCTGTAATCGTTTTTCTTCTGTTGTTCTCAATAATTCTACTTCTAACTCCTCGACTCTTACTTTCGGGGTACCTCAGGGTTCTATCCTTAGCCCTCTTCTATTTATACTCAATACCTCTGAACTACCTCGTATTATTAATAACTTTTCTTTTTCTGGTCAACTATATGCTGATGATTCTTACATTTATACTTCTCTTCCTCCATCTTATCTCAAGAGTGTTCTTCATTATCTATCTCTATGTATTTTTTCAATTAACGCTTGGTTTGACTCTATGTGTCTTAAACTTAATCCTTCTAAGTTTGAATTAATTTGTTTTAATAAATCTAAACACTCTATTACTATTCCTCCTATTATCTTACCTGATTCTAAAACGCTTGATGTCTTTCACAACTTTCGTAGTCTAGGTTTTATCTTTGATTTTACTATGTCTCTCTCTTCTCAGATTAACAGTGTCGCTAGAAGCTGTTACTTTCATCTACGTAGAATTAAAAAACTTTTGCTTTTTCTTGATGATCCTACTCTTCTCCTTCTCATTACTTCGTTAGTCTTATGTAGGATTGATTATTGTAACTCATTCTACTATGGTCTTCCTGACTCTATACTCTATCCTTTAAGTCAAGCTTTTAACTTTGCTGCTCGTCTAGTTGCTCGTGCCCCTTTCTTTTCTCATATATCTCCATATCTTGTTCTTTTGCACTGACTACCTATAAAATATAGATTAATTTTTAAAATTTGCACGTTTATGTATAAGTCTCAATCTAAATTATTTTCTAAGTATTTATCAGATATATTAATTGAACCTAAACGCCCCGGTTTACGATCATCTTCTTGTTCTCGCTTCTTCTTAACTCGTGTTAGACACTCTTTTGCTAAATCTGCTTTAGCTTTTTCTGGCCCTTTTCTCTGGAACTCTCTACCTACTTCTCTGACTACTTCTCCATCACTTACGAAGTTCAGAGCGGAACTCAAGACCCATCTGACTTCAAAATTCATTAAGGAACGCTGTTGAACATTTTGGAAATAGTGCTTTACAAGCTAATTGATTGATTGATTGATTGATTGATTAATTGATTGATTAATTGATTGATTGATTATTGATTGATTGATTAATTGATTGATTGATTATTGATTGATTGATTGATTGACTGACTGACTGATTGATTGAGATGAATTTGAAAATATTGTTCTTAAATACAGTCTCCACGTTGAATGATGTTGCAAGGTTGTTTAAATGCAGCTGGACGCAATATAGAGGTTACAGTCACATTACCGGCTGTAATAATAGTTACAGTAACAGCAACAAAAAACAAAAACAAAACCATAATAATGTAAACTCTTTTATTATTCAGAGAAAACCAGTAAAATCAAAAATAGTCAAAATAAAATATGTCAATAAAATGTTAAAATTAAATATTGTATAAAGTAAGATAATTATAAGATAAATAAATAAATAATAATAATAATAAATCAAAAATGATTTAGGTAAAGAAAAACAAAAAAAAAATTATAAAAGCGTATTCTACGTAGCTCGTCATTCAGTGAAAGAAACACGAAATGAGTACAACGAGAACAGATTAGTTCTACATTGATTCATTCCGTCAAATTTCTATCACAATAAACAGCGTATGATGAGGATATCGCAGAGTTAATAAGACTATTATAAAATTGATCAGACCAAATAATGTCGACCAGCGACAAATCGAAACAATTGAAAAAACCTAGCGGCGAAATTTCGAACGTGTTGATTATTATTTTTAAATGTTTTAAATTGTCAAGTAAATTGTTATGGAGGTTATTAGAATATTTGTCCATTTTATATTGTTTTGAATTGAAAAAATTAGACTCATGGCAGACGGTGAGCTCCAATATTTCAATTGTGTTGTCACGGAGTAGTGCGATGTCGGGACGAAGTGATTTGAAGAGACACGACAGTGGGCGGATCCCATCATAAACGACGTCTGCATACATCACAACCTCTGGTCCTGCGCATGATTTCAATTTTTCTATTATTATATTTAGAATATTGTTATGGCGTGTTGTGTATCTTTTTAATGCTGCCACCGAGCTGCAGTTGGATAGGACATGTTTGTTGGTTTGCCGAGCATTGCAAAGTGTACAAATGGCAGAAGACGATTTTCCCCATCTAAATAGATTAGCATTCGTTGGAAGCTGTTGAATAAGGCCTTTCCTAACAAATTTGAACAGTACTTCAGGAAGTTTGGCGGTGAACCTCGACCAGTGAGCAATTCTTACCGCGGGAATGTTGTCTTTAATCGACTTAAAAATGGTCCCTTGGCAGCGGAGTGACAGCAAATGTTCCAGTTCTTCATTTACTTGCCGATTCTTTAGAGCGCTGAGTGTCGATTTTGTGTCATTTGAGTCGGGAAGCATGTTGTCAATTTTAATATACTTATTGTATGACTCACTCCACAAACATTTTAACTCCTCGTGGCCGTTTGATTTAAGGTAATTTCGTAATTTTACTCTTAGAGATTCGGCAAAATGTTTGAGTGATCTAACATTTAGACCACCTGACTTGTATGGGAGCGACATAGTTTCCAACAGACAGCTGCTGATAGGCAATGA